GAATCTCAATATTCATGATTTGATACTGCTACAGAGAAATCAATTTAAACTGATTTAAAGATAAACTGATTTTACAATTTTTTGTTTTATTTTTTAATTGAAGTTGGACATAAAAAAGAGGTATATCCGCTTCTGGACATTTGCATTTCAAGTAGTAAGTCATTTATACTTTATAAATCAATATTTTAACTAATATATTTATTAGAGACCTAGGTATATTAAAATGTTTATTTGAAAGAAATGTAGTAATTTCTTAATAAATTTTTCAGAGCCTTATAATTCAGTTTTTAGTTAATCCAGATCTTCCTTTTACTTTTTTCACTGCTGGCAAAGGAAACTACAAAAGACTATTATAATCATTCACTTTTCTGCTGCTTACTAAAAATTTAGAAGCCAGTAGGGGAAGTGAGGGTGGGGAATGTGTATGCTTGTGTGTTGTGTTGCTTCTTCCCTAAGTGTTTCTACTTAGCTATGTTACTGAGTAAGAATTGTTTCTCTTAGGAAAGTGTATAGTTGCTAGTTTTTAATGGCGAACCTGACTTAAAACATTCACAAGTTAAACATCAGTTGTAGAGAAAAACCGTGGTCAAAATTTAATTCTTTTTGCATTGTTAAATCTACTCCAGTAGAGGGACCATCTATGCTTATACATTAAAATAAAAGCAATTGTTAGTAGGTACCAGCTTACTTTTAAAAAGCTGTCTAGATCAAATGTAATACAAGGGGTCAGCCATGAATATTCCTGAATAACCCTGAACATAAATATAAGTCAGTTCATTAGAATGATTTTATTAATGTTATAACTCGTTAGCAGGTTTTAGCTGACTTACCCAGAATGTCTCATTAGAACTTAATAATATTTGTATCTCTGATTAAATTTATGTATTTATCTTTAATATGACAAATGACTATTTTCTTGAATGGGTTTCCCAAAGTGTACCAAAAATGTTTTCACTTTACCAATGGTTGTCATAAATGTTTTAAAAGTCCAGATATCTGTTGAAAACAACAACAAAATATTAAGCTTATGTATTAGAGATTATATGGTTTAGATACGAAGTAATCTTTGCCTTTTTGTGGTATACATGTGACCAAAGAACCATAGTCTGTCAAAGAAATTTCCTCTTCTTGCCCACCCAGATTAGCTAAATTAATGCCAGCCTTCATGACAGAGGTAAGATAAAAAACTTACCTCCTTTCCGTCTCCCAGTACACACATCAATTTTTTAGGTAGCAAAATTTGATGTTGTAAACATGTCAAAATACCTCTTGTTTTCTGAAAATAAAAATGGATGATTGAGTTACAATTACATTTTAAAAAGAAAAAAGTTAAATTATGTGGCTCTTCTAAGACAATTTTTAAAACTTTGGTTTCCAAGGCATATTGCAGGTATACAGAGAAGTGGAATTTCTAATTGAATAAGAACATAGTTTGATATTATGATATAACAAATGAAAGTTAAATTTTGTCACATTTTCTATATTGGTTGATAAAAACTTAAGAATTTTGGGTCCATGCCAGGGTATAAATTTGCGTCGTAAAGCAAGTAAAACAAATAGTATAATCCATTGGATTGAATGTTTGCCAGTCTTCCTGTGTGCTCACTGATTGAAGCGATTCTAACTACCATCATCGCCTTTTAGAACTAGTGCATAAATATATGTATGTATATGTGTGTCTATACATACACCTAGATGTATAGATACAGTTTTTTAAAGGATGCAAATCCTAAAAGCAAAGTATATATAGGCGTAAAGGAAATTAAATGCACAAAGTTGCCTTTGCTTTGGGGAGCAATGTAATTACACATACAGAACGTGATTAAAATCCCAAAGGTGTTGCCAACGCTGCTCAGGTATTCATTATCCTAACTGAAGTAACATTATCTTAGGCAGCCACATGTGAATTGTGCAACAACTATTCTTTTGGTTAAATTTTAAGTTTCCCAACCTCAGCACTGTTGACATTCTGTGCAAGATGATTCTTTGTTGTGGAAGTGCTGTCCTGTGTATCGTGGGATGTTTGGCACGTTTGGCAACACCCCTTACATCTGCACACTAGATGCCTGTGGCGTCCCCCCAGGCCCACAAGTTGTGACAACCAAAAATGTCTCTAGGCTTCCCCCAGTGTTCCCTGGGGAACAAAACTGTCCCCCCTTGGGTTAAATATTACCAAGAAGTGAAGTATTTCCTGTAGGAAAAATGGGAATAATATGGAAAATATATGAAGTCATGATGTATAGACCTCTACAAATGAAAATTTTTAAATCACTTGCAGGAAGACACTGCTAGATGCTGCAAGGATGTGGAAATAAGTAAAATAGTTTCTGTTATAAAGCAGTTTATACTGTACAGAAGTAAAGTACACTAGTAACAGTACAGAATACAATAAAAATCATTTTGGTACTGGTGCAAGCAAGCTCAAAATGCTTATAATGAGGGAAAGTTGTGAGAAGTAAGTGACCAGTTGAGAACTATGGAGAGCTGGAGAGCCTGTGTCCCATTTTAAAAAGGCAGTACAGTGTCATACAGAATCTCCAGGTGATTTGTACTCTCAGAAACACTGGTTTAGTGAACAATTTAAAATAAAACACTTCGTTTAGAGGATTTGTTCTATTTGGACTGTTTGCTCATCTAGAAATTTGAAAGGTCTAGTTTAAAAAATAAAATATTTTTTTAAAAACTACCTCTTCAAACAGTGATTGTTAAATTCATTCTCTCCTTTTACCCCGACTCCATACCACAAACCAAAAGGAAACACCCATATGATGGAAGAGTATATTTCGTGTTGGAGAGATTTGAGGAGGAAATTACTCTGTGTTGTCAAACCTTGAAATTATACAATTCTACAAGGTGTGTCACTTTATTGTCTGAGGTTGATTCTGCTTAAAGATAAGCCCTTGAATACTGAAGTGTTTTAGTGGAAGTGGTACTTTATCAAATTACATGCACAAAAACACCCAATGTGAAACACTGCCAAAATCCACAGGTTCATAGTTCTGCATATTACCTCCCACTCCCCTCACTGAACCAACTTACTCTCTGTCTTCATTGTTCCCTGTTCTGATGCCTTTGGACTCGAACACATGCTCCTATTCAGGCTTCCATTACAACTGAGGCATAAACACCTCCTACCTGCAGTTTCCACCAACTGCTCACTGCCATCCCACTCATGCTCTTGTTCTCCCAGATAAGTATCTGCCACCCACCTCCATCTCACCGAACGAGGCAAAGAGAGCTAATATTAAATGTTCATGTTTGCCGGGGGGTCGGGGGGAGCTTCTGTGTTGCAAGAGGCTCATTATTTAATACATTTCTGTTCACTTGTCTGACACCACACCGGACTGAGCTCAGCCTCAGGATCCGAAACATAACAGACGTGCCTGCAGCATGCTTTCTTGCAACAAATGTGCACAGAACGCTTAGGTGCTTTCCACACATTATCTCCTCTAGTCATGCCAACAATGCTTCAGAGGAAGCATGAGTATCCTCATTTCACACATCACTTGTTTAAAGAACAGTTGATAAGAGGCGGCACCATGATTCTATTCAGATGGGGTTAACTCTAATATCAGATGTCTATGCACACACTCGGTGGTGGTAATTCCTGCTGTACCTTCTTCTCCACCTCTTCTTTCCACACTCCCTCTCTAACTATTCCCTTTCTAACACTAACTCCTTTATTTGCCACCTTCTCCCACTCCCTCAGACTCACTGGTTAAAATGGGGAATTGGGTTTTTCAACCTGCCAGTATCATTTCTAGAACACTAATGTTCCATCTTCCATCTGATTCTTATTATTTGAAGTCTAGCTATAAAATTCTCTATGCTGTTTTCTTTCACTTCTCCCCATCCAGGGGCAATGTGATTTTAGCATCTGATTTATGCTTTCTTTTGTACTTTTCTTACAGTACTAGCAATGTAATGATTGCATGCAAATGACCCTTCAGATTCCTCACTCTCAGCTCAGATTTTTTGCCTTAATAGAGATAGGCATGTCCATTCCTTTCACTTGGTGAAGAACTTTGTCTCATTTTGGATCCTTTCAACACAGGGACAATTGCAATTTAGAGATCTTGTAATTCCTATTATCTCTCAAATCACAGTGCATTCACCAAGACAAGTATCTTCCAACATTGTTGTTTAGCCATTTCCTCTTAAAACTCTTAGCTTCTTCTAAATGTCAAGTGCCACTTCAGTTTCTCTACTCCTTCATCTGTCGTCGGATTATAATGTTAAACACACTGGACGGGATATATACGATGTTCTAGATAAATCTAGCTTTAGTGTGAATATTTACTCCGTAAAGCTTTAATTCTTTGTTTTATAACGTGCTAAAGTAGTTTCCTGCAAGGAACTGTAGACGCTCATTTCTCGGAGACTGTAATAGCGGGGCACCCCTAGGGGGCGCTCCGTCTCACAAAATAGAAATGACTGACAGGAGCGCGCCTCACGGGTGGGATCACCTTAGGGGTGGGCCTCACGAGAACCTCAGCCTACAAGAGCGAGTTTGGGTTAGGAGCGGGCTGCAGAACCTCTTAGGTTCGAGCCTTGAGGAACGTCTACTACGAGCCTCCGCCAGTCCCGGGTACCCAGATCTCGCAAAGCCAGGGCGGAAGGGAGGTGAGCAGCGGCTCTTAGGCAGGTCACCTTTCGCCTTCGCGTTCCCTCCGCTGATTCAGCACAAGTGGATGTTGTTTGCAGACGTGCCCTACGAGTGCGCTCGGTAGAGCATCAGACTGAGTTGACTTCGGGACCAAGCCTGCTGAATGTCCCTTTCTGCTGAGCAAAAGTTATTCACACCGGCTACAATCCACTCATTACAGGAACGAGGTGTCAGGCAAAAAAAGCCTTAGAAAGATTAAGCCCTTCGTCAGGAAAGGAGTAATAACACGTGACGTGAGTTCGGTTCTCAAGCGGAAAGCTCACTCCCAGTCACTTCTGGTGTATGCAACAGGCTGTCGTGTTCTGAGGTCCAGACAGTGTTTGACCCTCTTACCCCATCAGAAGGGACGGCAAGTCCCTCGAGTGCAGCTCCTTGCAGTCTGCTTTAGTCTCACCCTCGACCTCTGTCATCAGTGGACGAAGGGCTAGTTGTTTTTCCAGCGCTGTATTTGGCAGAAAGAGGTTACTTAAGGGGCCGAATGTCAAATACATATTTAAAATTCTGCAGCCCTGGAGAGGCAGCGTATTTCAGGGGAAATGAGAAATGCCGTTTCCAGTCTGGAAGGCCCTCGTCTCTGGAGCGGAGCCGACGGCGCGGCTCCAGCCGCCCCCGGAGGACCGGAGGAGCCGCGGCCGTAGCCCCGCCCCGTGCCCGGCCTGAGTGGCTGGGGGGGCGCGGGCCGCCGGCTGGGGCCCGGAGGGCGGCGGGCGCGCGCGGCCTCTGTGGGTCTGCGTGTGTGTGTCCGCGTGGGGGAGATGCTTCGGAGCCCTGCGACGGAGTGTTTCCTTCCGAATGGTTTTGGTCAGCAATCCATTAGGGGATCATGAAACTGTTTTTGGCTAAAAGGATGAAAACTGAGTAAGTACATAGCACTTTGAACTTGAAGCGGAATGAAACAAATACAAACAAAACCCTGAGAGCAACCAAGTCCATTCAAACCGAGCATTCCCTTTTTATGTTAAAAGCCGTGAATGCTCACAGGAAAGTGGCAATTTAAAACGGAATGAAGGGAAAGCAGCTAAAAACAGGAAGAGTCTGAAAAGCAGGACTGCTTTAAAACTGTAGAAAAATGAGGAACTGCTAAGGCCAGCTGGCCTGCATCCAGCAGGCTCTTTGGGTTTGAACCTATTGCGTTCTTCAGTGCTGTTTTTAGGCTTAAGATTTTACTTTGGTGCTGTTTTCTCTTGTCCTGTAAAGCCTTTACTGTGAGTTTAAGGATGTTCAGAAAGTAAGGCATTATCGGAAGCAACAGTTAGGTTATATAGTTTCAACTACCTTTTTTGTTTTTTTAAACCAGGCCAGCCACTATTTACTGTCATCCAAGGAAGGGCTCCTATTCTCCACCTCAGACTTCTGAAACCTATGAATCTTTGGCATAATCCTTCGGAAAGTTCTTAAGCGGGAATGGAGCAATCGATATAAGTCGTGGAAGAAGACAGATTTGTACTTTTCATGCTGACAAAAAAGAGCTGCAATGACTTTCCCAGCAATGTGGACGGGGGCCAAGTGAAGCTGAACTGGTCATGGTCTGTCGTCCGGGGTTCCTTTGTCGTCGGCGCTTCTGCCCCCAGCCCTTCTTGGTGGGCTTGGTGGTGGCAATCTGTCTCTTCTACCAGAGCCTGACGTTGCGAGGGACAAGGAAGCTCCCAGCTGCTGTCCCTGGAGCTGCCCCCAGCACACCCACCGAAACCCAGGCAAGCAGATGCAAGGAAGGATTCTCCCTGGACAAACAGTGCTTCCTTCTCTCCAGTAATGCACAAGAAATCAGAAAGGTAAGACGGTCATAAACTATCCTTGACATTTTCTGCAAGGATTGCTGTCTGCCTCTCTCTGTCCTTTCTGCAAAACTAAAATTAACTTCCATGAGGTCTGAAAGAGATCCAGAGTATACACAGCCCGGAGAGTGACCTTCTGACAGTGAAACACACATTAGCTTCAGCTCCTTGTACTGACTTGCAGAAAGTCCTGACCGTTATTCTCTCTCTCAGAATTTCACATCATTTCAGCTGAAGGGAATAGACAATTTGGAGCAGGTGGGAGTGATGTGAATTCGTTCTAAAATATTAGGATTCTAAGAGATTTGAAGATTTACAGTTCCAGACATAAATCAGATTCATAAAAATTGATAAATATTGAGTGTCTCTTTCCTCAAGTAAGTAGAAATAGTAGACCATTTCAGCATGAGTGCCCAGATCATTCCAGTCTCAAAGATACTCTGGAATTCCATTTTATAATTGGTTAAATCAGTTTTTCATTGGTGAACACATTTCTAAGACAATATATTTACTTCAGAACCACTTAAAAGAAAAGGATAATAAGTATCATCAAAAGAGTTTATGCTGTGTTTATTGTTTATAGAATTAGGGAAATACTGATTATTTTATACTTATATTATTCTAATTAACTTTACTAATTTTACATGTCAAGTGTTGGAAAAAACACAGAACACACCAAAGAAACCACACAGGATTTCTATTTCAATATACCACTCTGGTCATACCTGTCAGTGAAGTGGGCCTTTAAAACAGTCCAGCTTCTAAAAGAAAAAGAGGAAAGAGAAACACACACATACAAATTCACGGTGGCAAAGCCACTGATTTTTGTGCTACAGCATAGCAAGATAATTTAGGAATCTATGAGTTTAGGAAACTATCTTATATCTGCAGTAGGTAAGATCGTGGTATTGTTTGGAGCAGAATTTCCTGTTGAATATGCTACCATTATTGTGAACACCTCCAGCACCACTACCACCTTGTTGCAAAAACTCTTTTACGCATTTCTTCTCAGACTCATAACCCTGTGAGATAGGTAAGGTAGGTATGATTGTCATTATTTTACAGATAAGGTGACTGCCACTCAAAGATATCTGGGCAGGTCACAGGGCCAGCATTATGACATGGTACATCATCCCCCTGGTTCCTGCTGCAGGACTGACACTCTGAATAAAAGTCAAGTCAAAGCTCTAGAAACAATTTGTAAAACCACAACTGTAAGAACTTACTGATATACCCAATAATACTAGAACACAGAAAACTTGAAAAATTTTAAGTGAGTGACTTATTTTATCAATAACGTCAAGAAGCATCTTGACCAAGAAATATCTTATGACAAAGAACAACAGATAATATAACTAGAAACACTTTCATATGGAACTTCAACTGTAATGTGAATTAGTTATTAAATGCTCTAAAGTAATTGAAGAATTTGTATTTTTTCTTCATTTATATTGGTTTCAACTTAACTCATTTACATTTTTGTTTTTTTATTTAATACATCATATTTATGATGGGTGTAAACTGTGAGTTTGACAGTCACTTTTTGTTTACTTCTAACATTCAAAAATATAATTCCCTTAAAAACAGTTGAGATGGTTTTGTTCTTTACCTAAATTTTTTGCTGAGAATTTTGGACAAAAAGGTTTTTGTTCATTAACTTACAGCCTTTTGACTTAACATCCCTACCTGACTTTATGTAACTCTTGCTTTTGCCAGTAACATAGGCATATGTTATGTGTTATTTGTAGACTATCATGGAAAATTCCATTTCAGCTTTGAATCTCCTACTACTTATAAACCATCTGAAACTTATTGGCTGCTTGTGTAATTAGGGAAATACTGATTATTTTATACTTATATTATTCTAATTAACTTTACTAATTTTACATGTCAAGTGTTGGAAAAAACACAGAACACACCAAAGAAACCACACAGGATTTCTGTTTCAATATACCACTCTGGTCATACCTGTCAGTGAAGTGGGCCTTTAAAACAGTCCAGCTTCTAAAAGAAAAAGAGGAAAGAGAAACACACACATACAAATTCACGGTGGCAAAGCCACTGATTTTTGTGCTACAGCATAGCAAGATAATTTAGGAATCTATGAGTTTAGGAAACTATCTTATATCTGCAGTAGGTAAGATCGTGGTATTGTTTGGAGCAGAATTTCCTGTTGAATATGCTACCATTATTGTGAACACCTCCAGCACCACTACCACCTTGTTGCAAAAACTCTTTTACGCATTTCTTCTCAGACTCATAACCCTGTGAGATAGGTAAGGTAGGTATGATTGTCATTATTTTACAGATAAGGTGACTGCCACTCAAAGATATCTGGGCAGGTCACAGGGCCAGCATTATGACATGGTACATCATCCCCCTGGTTCCTGCTGCAGGACTGACACTCTGAATAAAAGTCAAGTCAAAGCTCTAGAAACAATTTGTAAAACCACAACTGTAAGAACTTACTGATATACCCAATAATACTAGAACACAGAAAACTTGAAAAATTTTAAGTGAGTGACTTATTTTATCAATAACGTCAAGAAGCATCTTGACCAAGAAATATCTTATGACAAAGAACAACAGATAATATAACTAGAAACACTTTCATATGGAACTTCAACTGTAATGTGAATTAGTTATTAAATGCTCTAAAGTAATTGAAGAATTTGTATTTTTTCTTCATTTATATTGGTTTCAACTTAACTCATTTACATTTTTGTTTTTTTATTTAATACATCATATTTATGATGGGTGTAAACTGTGAGTTTGACAGTCACTTTTTGTTTACTTCTAACATTCAAAAATATAATTCCCTTAAAAACAGTTGAGATGGTTTTGTTCTTTACCTAAATTTTTTGCTGAGAATTTTGGACAAAAAGGTTTTTGTTCATTAACTTACAGCCTTTTGACTTAACGTCCCTACCTGACTTTATGTAACTCTTGCTTTTGCCAGTAACATAGGCATATGTTATGTGTTATTTGTAGACTATCATGGAAAATTCCATTTCAGCTTTGAATCTCCTACTACTTATAAACCATCTGAAACTTATTGGCTGCTTGTGTAGAACATGCCCTCTAGAATTTCCGTCACAAAAAATGCCAAACACATAATGGTTTTTTCAAATTGTTGAGTCTTAAATATTTTAACCATAAACAAAACTCTAAATTCTCAATCACAATTCAGAAGCCCAGGAGATTTGAAAATTGCATTTCCAAACATTTGCCATGTACCCCCATTTTTAACATAACTTGTGCCAAGCATTGGCTTGGAGTCAGTTTTTATTAGAGGTACAAAGGAAGCTTTAAAGTATCATGTGGAAGTTAGTTAAAATCACATGTAAATTAGGTCTCCTTGTGATCTGTGTTCCAAAAAAAGAATCAAATAGTAATCCAGGTTTGAAGATTAAATATTCTTTCTGAGAGCTAAAGTGAAGAAAAAAATGTCTTTGGGGTCAACATTCTTGAAACAGCTACTTATGAAGTTCATTAAAAACATAACTATTGAGATTACAAAGATTTGCCTCAAGACCTAAAATATAGCTTTTAGGCATTTTATAGAAGAGTCATTGTTTCTATCTATAAATGTGGAGTTTTGCTGCTACTTTTATTGGCAAACCAAAATGTTCATGTTAACTAGGGCCTTTCCTTACTGGTATCTAACCATCTTCAAGTGATTTTTAAAATTATTTAAAACAGCTGATTTTGACCTATATTTCATTGATTCCAGAGGTATTTGGATGTATAAGATATCTACTAAACCCAGGCATTTCATGCAAAATATTGCATATATGTGTATCTGCATTTCTCTGGGGAAAAATATCATGATACCCTTCAGATATTCAGCCCTAAAGAAATACTGAGAAATGCAAAAAATGCTTAAAAAGCAGTATGTTTAAACTTTAACCGCTGCTCCAGAAAGTATGAGTTGGGCTTAGACTTATAAAATTAAAAAAGGAAAACAAAATCTTACTTAAAAAATCTACCTGAGAATGTTTGAAAAAGTGTTTCAGTGAAAGCTGTAGTGTCTGCAGAGATAAACATTCAGAAGCTAAAATATACTCAGAGTATTTCTTGAATCATAGTTTTCATACTTTCATGAATAAGCAATAAGAATTTCCCAGTCTTTGTTATTGCTGTTGTTTCTCGGAGACCTTTTGTACTTTATCAGCCTAGCAACAGAAGAATATTCTGTCACTCAGAATATTAGCAAATATTTAAAGATGGGTGATTGGCTGTGCCTTTTACACCTTTACATTTGGAATTTGATTCAATGTCTAAAATGGTTTTCAGTATAGATTGAGATCACAGTATGGCATATGCCAACTTTCCATATTGAGGAAATATTCTTTGTCAGGCCAAATTTTAATTCTTTTTTCCATTTGAACTTTCCAAAGGGCCTTGCTAAGCAGATGTACTTCTGTCATTTCTTCTGTGTTTCCTCTCAACATTAATTTGAATTTTGGCTGATAAACTGCTGTGTAATTTCAGCTATTTCGGTTGTCTTCACGGAAGTAGGTCACTCAGTAAATTTATTTTCTTTGAATCTAAGACTTTAATATTTCATAACATAAGTACATTAAACTATAAACAGACACAACAGAAGAAAATCTTCTTAGGATATGTTCCTTTAATGGAAACTTTGCCATTTGGGGTATATAGTTATACTCACCATGGACATGTGTTTCTGATTATCTTCTGTTGATGCTCTACAAGGAGAATTACTGGCTCTTTTTTGCTTGATTATTCGTTCTCTTTTCTTCTTGACTCTCTGTTTTCTGCCAGTGACTGTTTTCTACAACTGCTCTTCCCAGTATCCCACTGTACCCACTGCACATAAATGAATGTTTTCATTATGTTTTAATAAAATGAATGTTTTAATTTAGTTGTGTTTCCAGTAATGCATAGTATATTTAACATTAGAAAATTTCTAAAAATTACTTGTTTAGCCCAGGTTTTCTAGAAATAGAACCTGAGGCAAATATTTAACATGC